GGATAGCACAAGCTGCAGCTCAGACATCAAGAACGAGCAGCCTGGTTTACAGCAAGACAGCCTGGGAGTTATCCACTGTGGGCACAACCCTGCCAGTCTCTCAGAGAGCAAGGACTGTTGGCTCCAAGGCCAGCTGTGCCACCGCATGCCACTCAGCTCCATGCCAAACCGACAGCACGCGTCCTCCCCCAGCCCACTGCCACCAGAGCCGAGCCACTGGGCAGCCAGCTGCTGGTGGATGCACTGGCCATGCCCAGGAGGAAGCTGAAAGCAATAAATAATAACATTGGCAAACACCAGCTCAGACCAGCAAGGGGGGGGTCGGCTAGGGAAAGGGATTCACGCGCTCACCGGGAAGCCCAGAGGTGTCATGCCATGCACCTGAGTGCACGGGCACAAAGCAGAAATGGGTTGCAGTTCTGGGCCTTGGCTCTGAAAACTTCCTGCCACTGGGAAGGTTTTAATGCAAGCAAATAATGCAGTGATGTTACACTTTTATCCTTTAGCTTCCCTTAAATTAAAAACTAATAGTGTCTGCAACACATTCCTTGAAGTGTCTCCAGCCCCTGCAAGTGCATCTACAGCAATTAACTGTGCTTTAGGTCAATGGTCAAAAAGGACTTTGAAATACTAAACCACTCTAGGAAAGAATAAATTGCAACGATGTCAAAAGTAATCAGTGTACGAGTGTGAAAAACCTCTTAGAGTAACCTTTTCCTTCAAACTTCAGTTGGTTTTCCTTTTGGTAGAACAAGTCATATGCGACTGGTAGGCTTGGGAGACATCATCCAGGTGAAACGAGAGACAGCAGACTGGGACAGACACATGCAATCCTCTCACTGGGCTGAAAACTTCAATTAAATGGATGGGAGCTGGGCAAAGCAACAGTACTGCCCATAACACTGGTCACTGGGCTGAGAAATAAGAGACCTCGGAGAAATTACCACACCCCTCTCCTTCCTCCATCCCTCTGCACTTCTCATCAGCGCAGGCGTTCTCCTGCTGTGTCTGTGGGTGCATGCAGCACCCGGGGATCCTGCCCAGCATCACAGCCCCATGATGCTATTACCTATTTGGTTGAAATTTTGTAGGTGGGCAGGGAAGGGGGCAAGAGGAACACTTGCTAGGGGAAGGGAATGATCCAGGTGTCTTGAGCTGGGCCCAGGATCCCAGGATGACTCCTCACATATACATGGTCATGCAGTGCCCTAAAAAGCACTTTACTAAACCTAGACTGAGTCCGCACTCCCTGCTCCTACTTGCAATTTGGTTGGCCTGCGAGCTCAGTCATGTTGCTGGGGTTCAGTGACTTCTGCCTCGTGGTCCCATCTAGCTCAAAAGGACACTTGGTTATCCTTGACTTACACAGTCCCTGCTTCCCAGCACGCGCATCCCAAGTGGAAAGTTTGTCTGTTCTGTGATGGAAAGACATCTGCCAAGACAGATTCCCTGAATCTACATGACATTCAAGTTCAGCTCTCCAGAGATGTGTCCCTCAGGCAGAGGCTGCAGTCAACTTCTAAGGATAAGTGCAATATCCTGGGAGACCTGTCTTGCATGTAATGGGTAGTTTCCCATCTCTAAGAGCCACCTCTTTCACAGAAAACCACTTAAAGCAGTACAAAGACACACAAGACACATAGACATGCACCGAAAGATAGAAGCAGCACCTTGATTTACTGTGGGACTAGAAACAGCATATAACCACCTCCTCTAGATTTCTCCACTCCTAAAGCCCAAGACGCAGCTGTCTCCTCCTGCCAGCCCTCTGCTTTCCGACATCTGGCAGGGTAGTAAAGGTCAAATGACAGAGCAAGTTGGGAGATATGCAAACAGTTAAGCCATCTTTTTGCTGAAGTCATGTTTGAGTGCCTGCAAAACAAATAAATAAATAAATAAACGAGGAAAAATACCAGGGCACAGAGGGGACAGCGTTATGCACAGGTGCCCTCTGCCGGTCACAACCCAAGGAAAGCCATCCACCTCAGCTCTATGTCACTGATACGCAACTTCCTTCCCTCCTTTTGTAGATGAACCCCTAAAAATATTCCCTATGGAGGGAAATGTGCTGTAAAACTTAAATTTATTGGGTTTTTTCCTGTGACAACTGAAGCGATCTAGCAGCAACTACTTGCAAGGGCAGTCCAGCCACCTCGCTGCTTGGTTTTGGGTCTTAAGATCCTTGGGGAAGTCAAACAGCTTCAGTTTAAATCCAATAGGAAAACCAAACCATCGAGAGAAATGTTCTGCCAGGTCGGCCAGCTGAACCGACTCCCTAGCTGCCTTGATGTAATAGAAGGGAAGTGGTGAGAACACAGGGCCAGGGAAAAAAGGGACACATCCACATTATTTGAGACTGGCTTTGCTGGCGTGGTTAACTTTTGCAGGCGTTTGAGGCACAGTCCACAAGTCCCTGCCAGTCAAAAACAACTCCTGCAGTCAATACTACAAGCCGAAAACTATTTGAGGCACTAATCAATTCAGAGCATGTTTCTCTGTTTTAAATAGCAATGTTATTTGATTAAAGCTACAATTTTAAACAATTTCTAAGAAGCACTGAGAGGTTGCTGAAATGATACAAATTGCAGATTTCAGATCCATTCTGTTCAGTCTATTAAAACAATGCAGATCTATTGCACA